TTCATTGTGTTGCTTGTGTAAATGTCAGTATTCATAAATTAACATGCGGTGGAAGAAATGCTCAGAGTGAAATTAGCAATGACAATGTGACCGTTTACAGTCTTGCTCTAAAAACCTTAACATATTAACATAAGGGGGTATCAAATTTCCTTCTTGTGGCAAATGGCATTCATATTATATTATATATTATTCATATTATATTACTTTTAGTAAAATAGTAGTAATATTTGAATTACCAATATGTTAACATGTGAATTGTATTTTACTGGTGTAACTGAGGATCAACATTTTTTATTTTGAGTACAGGTGAGTAGTTTAATCTAGTTTAAATGAAAAACTTCAAATTTTAGGAAATATGTTTTTTACTTTTAAGTCAAGAGGATCAATACTACTGTCTGTCGTAATGTAGCCTGCAGCTGGTTAGCTTAGCATTATGACTTGAAACATGGAAACAAGTAACCAGGCTCTGTTTAACATAAAGGATTCTTACCTTTTGTACAGACTCACACAAACTGTCTCCCCCTGTTTCCAATCACACTGTATATTTACCCTATAGACACTTAAAGTGCTACAAGGATACATGTCATATTATTCCTGATTTATAACCATCAAGTAGTGGAAAACTAAAACACTCCAATAAACTACAAGTAAACCATATGTCAAAACTGTCCAGCACACACTTAAACAGGAGAAGCTGAATGAGAGACCTCAACTCCAATCTCATGACAGCAGGAGGAAGCAAACAAAACTGATAAAGTGGTGGTTTTAGCTTTTGACTGGCACATCCCTGCTGCTCTTGTATTTGTACAGACATGAAACACACAACCTATTTGTCATCTGGCTTGTGTTGTTACTGCCACCACATACTTTGTTTTTGGCCACACACTCCTCGGTCTGGCAAAAATCCTTGCATAGAATTCTTTTATTTTTCTTGGGGCATCAAGTTAATATGAGTGGGCATGCACAACACGTAACATGTGTTGGTCTGCAGCGATCCAAGGCAATGTCCCATTTTGCTCCCAGCTTGCTTTATGCAGTGACAGGAATGGAAGTAATTTGGTGGAAGTACTGAGGAACAGTTGGGGAGATGATAAAGGACGTTATTGTTGGATTTTGCAACTGTATCTGATGCCTGTGCATGTGTTCCTTTGACTAATCAAGCTGTAGCATGGCAAAAGAATCTTGGTTTCCTGGACACTGGTGGCGGGCCAGATTGTCTGGTCCTGATAATAGTAATGGGAGTGATAGCAGCAGTGGCTAATCTACACAGAGAAGGGGTCAGGACCTGCTTATCTCGCCTGAGTGGAAAATAACAGGACTTAAACAGCACTTTAAGGACCAGTCTGTGATTGCGGTATGACAACCCAGTTGAAATATGTTTGCCCCACTTCTGCCTTTGTTTATGTAGCGACTTTCCGGGTTTGAGACATTTTTTCACACTGACATTTATTTCCTAAGCTTTTGATGTCAGACTTGAGGCCACTTGAGGTTTGTTTATGTTCGTAAACTTGTCAACACTTGAATTACATTCACTTGTATTTTTGGTTACGATGGTGGAGGAACCCTTCTAAAAACAATTACCTCATTCTCTGTGTCAAAGTCCTTTAGAACAGAAGTGAGCATTGCCAGAATTTACATGGCAAAATAAAAGAAACTGATTTAGTCCATAAAATGAAAACCAAAGGCATTCCATCACACTGTATTTCACAAAGGCATCTAAGTTATATGTTGACACAGTATTTACTGCACATGACCTGCACAGTATGCTTATGAATCTTTGCAGATAAGTGCATCTGTATGCAACACAGACTGACGATGAACTAAATTTGGTTCTGTGTTTGATCGTTGCCTCAGGTCATGGACAACTCTTTGAACCAACATGCCTAGTTTCACAAAACAACAGAGACAAGCCTGTGTCCATCTGTTCTTCAAAGGAGGGAAAGGAGCAGAGCTTCAGACAACAAAATGTTCTTTTAGCAAAGAAACACATGACTCGGTTAAGATGGGGATTAAATTGCAGGCTGTTTCTCAGAATGCAGGAGCAAAGAGTTTGATTATGTGCTTGAGAAACATGTATCAATAAATTATATACAAAGTTTATTGTGTGTGCTATCAAAAGCAGGGGTCCAAATCTTTTTTATCTGACATGCCCCTTCATCCCAATCACATGAATCCCTTTCAAGTACCCTTTAATTGACCCCACCTACATGTCTTAGACTGTAAATGAAGATTGATAACCATTTTTCTCCTACTATCAAGAAATAAAGCCAAAATATCCCACATACGAGTCAATCAATCAATCAATCAATCAATCAATCAATCAAATTTATTTATATAGCATGGTATCACAACAAACAGTTGTCTCAGGGTGCTGCACAAAAGTCCAAGATCTTAAGAAAGACAAAATCCAACTTGTTCCACACCGAGCAAGCATGAGCAACAGCGGAGAGGAAAAACTCCCAGGTGGAAGAAACCTTCAGCAGAACCAGGCTCGGTGTGGACGGCCTCTGCCAGGACCGGCTGGGGTGAGTGAAGAAAGAATAAATAATATAGGCAAACAAAAGGAAATAAAGGGGGGGGGGGGTGGAGTCACAGTCTGAGGTCATGGGCTTGAATCCAGCCGGGAATCTCCACGTGTACGTTGTCATGATCTTCCAAGGGCGCGTTGGTCCCCCCTGGCACTCCTGCCTCCCTCATGGTCCAACATGCACAGTAGGTGGACCCATGGCTCCAAAGGTGAGAGGTCCTCAGGTGAGAGTGCTGGTGGTTGCGTGACCCTCCATGTCAGCCCTGCAATAGACCGATGACCTCCACTAGGTCCATCCCTCATCAGGACCCGAACCAGGACGGGCTCTGGAGAGCCGCACAGTATGGACCAAGGAGGGGAGGAGAAGACCCAAGGAATTAGAGAYATGTAATAAGATACAACAAAATAAACAAGGCAGCGAGGGCTGCCATCTTGCACATTTGAAGTCAGTCAGCGGGATCAAGGTCTTGCTGATACATGAATTTGATCCATCATGAGTCATTCTCAGCTGTCGCAACATTTCATCCTGTACTAACCTCTCTGATGCAATGGCTGGAAGTCCTTCTCTTTGGCCAGGCGTCCGATGTAGATGGTGATGATGTTGGCAATGCTACTCACAGATGGATTTCCAGGTTTTAATCTTTGCCAGATTCAATTTCACAAAGAAGTGCTCACAGGTTGTCCTCAAAAGACACATCAAAAGGACAAACATACAGATTAAAGGTTGTGTCTCCATTCAGGGACTGCATCCTTTGGATACAACACATATGTCCAGTTGATTTTTGTACTTTTCATGTCCTGAATGAGAAAGACAGACACCTCACCAGTATATTCTGTTGCCACCAATAATCTTCAAACCATCACATGGTCTCAAACCCAGATTCTCCAGTTTAGTCTTATGGCTCCTTATGCCATCTAAAATCCAAACGCACACTTGTTGGTGTTGGTGGCAGCTGACCGTGGACTATGACTACAACAAGACTGCTGGACATACAATATATCTCCTCAAATTCTCGACCATTACTAACCATAATTCCTCGATTCATTTACCTTCCATCATGCTTCAAACTATTTACTCTAACCAATGCTGTAATTACTCATCTATTTCTGTGACGTTCTCCATTACAGGTGGCATCTATTGCACTTCTGTCCATCCTGGGAGAGGGATCCCTCACATGTGGCTCTATCTGAGGTTTTTGATTTTTCCCTGTTAGTTTTTCCTTACAGGGCAGAGGATGTCAAAGCTTCTTAAGGCCAAATTGTGATTTATGAATATGGGCTATACAAATAAAATTTGATTGATTGATTGTTGGCTGTAAACTTCAAAAATATCCAAATATGACCCAAGGATGTTTTATCCTTTTGTTGCTGCTTAAATTGTTAGTTATTCCCTTGTGTGTCTGCAGTTTTTCCTGTCCTTATGTTTCCTGTTTGTCCCCGGTTTCTCCTTGTCTGTGTTTGTTTGTGTGTTAAATACATGTTATAACCCTTTAAAAATCTAATTTGAAAAATATTTGGTGTGGAAAGATAAATGATTATAAAGGTCCAGTGTGTAAGATTTATTTAAAATAATCGTCATGATGTTTTCAGTTCACTAATGTGCTTCATCAAAATTGTGGGAGTTGTTGTTTTCTTTACCCTTTATATTTAAATACTTTATATTAACATCAAGGGGTTCCTCTCTACGGAGGCCGCCATGTTTTAAACAGTAGTCCAGACCAGGGTTATTATAGTTAACGAAAACTAAGTCTAAAACTAAAACTAGCAATGAAAAATAATTCAGTTAACTGAACTAAAAATGACAATTACAAAAAAAAACTAAAACTACAATGAACAATGCAAAACTAACTAAAACTGAATTGCAGATAAATTCAGCTTGGTTTTCATTTCGTTTTCTCCCTCGATTACTGCCTGTCCTGCAGGTGATGGTTAAAGAATGAAATTAAAGGACTTGAACATTGTTTCATCCTTTTTCAGCTTCTACAAGTCACTGCTTTCTCTTAATACCTGGAAAAACTAAAATTAAGACTAAAACTAAATATAAACTAAACTGAAACTAGTCGATTCCTCAAAATAAAAACTAAGCTAAAAATACAAAATCACTTGTTGAACTAACTAAAACTAAACTGAAATAAAAAAGCAAACTGAAGAACTAAATAAAAATAAAAACTAATGAAAATTTCAAAACTATAATAACCTTGGTCCAGACTGGACAATATAACAGATAACTGAACTCTTATGTCTGGAAGGGGAGGGTGAGGTGAGGGGTATTCAGCTGCAAACTGCAATTTCACCACTAGTTGTCACTAGGCACACTGTACATTTAAAAAAAAGCGTGACTTTGATGTGGAATTCTGAGTATCAACAGTTACTTTCTCACATGACCTCAGTTGAACACATTTCATGAACTGTGAACAACACTTGTTCCTGGAGACGTTTCAGCGACGACATTTTTGTGGAAAAGATTGATTTATTTCGATTAAACTGCCATCAGATAAAATGTCAGCAGCAGTAGGACGAGGTAAGAATACTGCAAACACACACACACATCAACAGTGTGTTGGAAATTTAGTAAGTGAGTAAATGTACTTAATTACTGTACTGTATGTGATTGTAAATTGAAATGTAGTAGATTAAGTATAGAGAAGCATAAATTGTAGCAACATAGAGCATATCATATATTAATAACACCAAAAATTGTCTCTTAAACATCAATACATTGTGATACAGTCAATTTAAACTTAGACGTTGATTGCTCAGTAATTAGGGATGTCAAACTATATCTATATATCTAAATCTAAACTATATATATATATATATACTGAATATAACTGTGGTGTCCTGCTTCTCGCGAGTGACGTAAATAGTGTGCGCCGCGCGGTGATAGCTCTCGCGGATCATGTAATTTGTGTGCGCCAGCCAGTGAAACATTATTTGGGAAGAGGGAACTGATTTAATGGATTTATTTCCACCAGCGCTGGACAAAAAACTCCATCGGAGAAGTTCACAGTGAAAGGAGGAAAACTTGTTTACTTTCGATTTCTGACCAGTTTGCGGCTAACACACGCACGCACACACGCACGCACGCAGCTCTCTCTGTCGCTCCCTTTGTTTCTCTGCATAGCAACCATTTTAAATGTAGCCGACAGTTGGGTTCACCTGTATGGAGGCAGCGGGTGAAGAAGGACACGAACACTGAGGTTTGAACGAGGACACTTCACCTGTTTACTTTTCACAAGTGGTCACCTAGCTACCAAAACAGAACTGCTTCCGTCGGTGACACGTCACAATAAAAGTCCCATAGAGCTACACTAGTTATCATGACAGGAAACACAAATTCACTGACCAGCCTTCCATAATAAAGCAACTAAATAAAATACTTTACATAAATTACTTCTAAATATGCAGACGTTACACTTTAAAAACTGGATATTGTTGATAATAATCAATATTTTAGTTCATTAGCTATATTATTAGCTATATATTTTTTGTTGTGTGTCCTTTTCCTTCTATAGTATCAATAATCGTGAAACTGATATTTCCTCTGACAATAATCGTGGCACCAACATTTCATATCGTGACATCCCTAGTAACAGTAATGCTTTAGTATAATATACAATAATATAACACTGATATCCTGCCTCCACAATGACTACTTTGATGCTGTATGTACCTAAAACAATTGTCAGTGCAAGATATGTGCATGTTATTTGTGCATGAAGCATGTGTTTTTACTTTTTATTTTTGCACCTTAAAAATCTGTTTGCTACTTGAGTGAAGATTCTGAAAACTGAAGTCTGATTTAGCTTTCCATGAGATTTTTCTCTTGTTCAGAGGACGTCACTCTTCTTAACCTCTTGTAATATCACTCATTGAAATGAAGCTATAGTCAGTGACTCATCTTCATGTGGTCATAGAACAGAATCATTTATCGACATTAACATAATTGATGCTTCAGCTGCATGTTTGCGTCATGTATTTACTGAATAAAACCCACCTTCTCACATGTTGTGATATTCACACGTTCTGCTCCTTTCTCACAGAACAAAAGTCAGCGTTTCAAAACAATGGCCTGCTGATTAGCGAGAAGAGTTGTTACATGATCCTGGACATAATTGGCGAAGGAGCTTTCGGTAGTGTTGCCAGGGGAGTGAATTTGCGCACAAAGGAGGATGTTGCGATCAAGATTTTGTCTGACAAAAAAGTATTCAAAACAGAGGTAAGTCTTTTAGTGCCACTTCAAAGGTTTTGTTACATTTAGGCTCATTGAATAAATAAACTGCTGAGTCAGTGCTGTTCCTTATCTATGTTCCCTCTCACAGATCGACATGATGGAAGTCGTGAGTGTTCTGGACCCAGTTAAATCCAACGTGGTGCACTTCTATGAGAAGGTTGAGCAGGTTGGACGTACCTGCCTCGTGTTCGAAAGGTTGGACAGGAATCTGGACGAGCTTCTCGATGACAGAGAGGGCAAACCGCTGCTTGTCAGTGAGATACGGCCGATATCACAACAGGTAAACTCTACGGCCTTACACAAAGAGTGTATAATATATAAATATTGGCAGTATACTGAGGATTTAGCTATTAAAAAGTGTTAAATCATGTTCCTTGTTGATCTGTTCACTGTTCGCTGGTCTACAGTGTGTTTAAACTACATTTGTCTGTCCCTGCAGGTGCTGACGGCCTTAGAAGCCCTGAGGGGACTTGGCATCATCCACAGTGACTTGAAGCCAGATAATATCATGCTGGTTAATCACCAGAACGAGCCATTCCGCGTCAAACTCATAGACTTTGGCTTGTCGCTCAGAACCTCTGAAGTGAAAGACGGAATGGTGATTCAGCCTCTGGGTTTCAGGTAGGTTCAATCTGCACAGCTCATCTTTGCAGTTCAGTGTTTCAGCTGATGTCAGTTTTCAATAAACATGTTGACTCTTGAGTGCTTAAGAGCTCTTTTTGCTCTTGTCCTCTACAAACAGGGCACCTGAAGTCTCCCTGGGTCTCCCCATCTCCCAAGCAATCGACCTGTGGGGTCTTGGGTGTATTCTGGCATACTTGTACCTCGGTGTGGAACTTTTTAGTATAGGCTGCGAGTATCAGATGGTGAGTAAAGTAGTACAGTATATCTAGATTGGACTTCACAGCCTCTGACTGAGTCTTGCTGTAGGATGTGGGCTGATGTGGTTCTTTATATTCTCTCTCCAGATGAGGAGCATGATCACTCTCCTGGGCAAACCAGATGATTACCTCCTCAATGCAGGAACATACACCCATTGGTTCTTCACGGAGAACCCGCCCTGGAAAAACCCTAAATGGTCACTGAAGGTAATTTTAACCTTTTAATTTAGTTTTGCTTTTACCTGAGCTGTTGATATTATTTTATATCCCCTAACCAGAGAAAAGTTTGCAATGGTTGAGACATTTGGGGAGAAGTATCTAAAATATGTTCTGTTGTTGCAGAGCCCACTGCAATTCAGGCTGGACACTGGGGTGGACCCTGAAAAGAGCTGGCCAATTCAGTTCAGTTCCCTGGATCAGCTTGAAACAGTAAGTGGTCCTTTTCATAAAATTAGTAAATGGTCTGTATTATATTTCCCCCATTCACACTCACTCAGGCATGTATGTGCAGCACTTTCTCTATCACACATCATTCACATGCTGCCTGAGGACAGAGCACAGAGAATGGAATCAAACTGCCAACCCTCTTGTTAAAGGTTTCCTGCCGAGTTCTGTTGCCAAGAGACAGGAAGCAGATAAACTGAACAATCATCTTTGTTTCAAATCCAGATTTACCAAGAGGGTAAGGAGCCAATTAATATGAGTGACAACAAAGCCTTCATCAACCTGCTGAAGCATCTTCTGCACATGGACTCTGATCTGAGGATCAGTTCTGCTGATGCTCTGCAGCACCCGTTTATATCCATGGAACACATGGAGGAGCTGGACACCAGCCTTTAGTAAGTAACTGTGTGTTGGTATCTGCAGAGTTGAACAGATGCACGATTGGATGAATTGACAAGTTTATTTACTGATTGATTAAGTCACTATTTATTTGTCGTGTTTTTTTCAGTGTGTGCAACGCATTTGAGAAGATGATCGTCTGCAAGTTGGAGGACTTGAAGGATGACTCCATCCTGAATGACAAAGTCTCTGCCTCTCCTCTCTGTGGTGATGACGTCACTAACGAGCCTGCCACACTTGGAGAAATCCTGTTGATAAAGACGGACAACTCTCTGGAGGAAACGTCTGATGATAAGACTGAGGAGGAAGTTCAGTGCGTGTCTTCAACGTCTCCTTGCGCCAATGAATGCAGCACAAATCTGCCTGAARKAGCAGCTGCTGCYGGAGCTGAGGATGCTGAAGCTGTCAATCACGATGCCATCAGTTGTGATCCGACTGAGGAGAAGACGGTGCCTGTTCAGGGCGTGTCTTCAACGTCTCCTTGCGCCAATGAATGCAGCACAAATCTGCCTGGAATAGCAGCTGCTGCTGGAGCTGAGGATGCTGAAGCTGTCAATCACGATGCCATCAGTTGTGATCCGACTGAGGAGAAGACAGTGCCGGATGTTTCACCTGATGTCAAAAGAAGGAAGAGCCTGTTCAAAAGGATTCGCTCATTCTTCAGCAGAAAGTTTAGACCCTTGTGCTGCATGAGAAGATCTTAGGTGAAAATTGTGCAAACCATTCATATACACTTCTAACTGACATTAGACATGAATGTGCACAGACTCAATTTATCATTTTTGTTTATACTCTGTTTTATCTTTGTCCCAGAGGGAATTTTTTGACTTCTGCGATCTATTTTGATGTCACACATAGGGTTGGGCATCGTTTGGATTTTAACGATTCCGATCCTCAATATCGATTCCAATTCTTTGAGGTGGAGGAGAGAAAAAAAAACAAGATAATTTTTTTATTTGAAAAAGCCTTTACACAGGCCATTTTTATCCACTTCGGACTGTCAACCAATCAGCTAAATCAGCTACTGGAAATCAGCTACATGAAAATTATGATGGTCTTATTCTTAACTGACTAGCTTAAGTTATAGACCACCAGTTGCTAAAACTGTGTCAAATCTGTTCATAGTTGTTGAACGCTCGCAGAGTGATGCTAACGTTAGCCAGTCTGAGCCTGCTGCTGCTGCTGCTACGTTAAAGGAGAAGTTCGGTTTTTTTCATCCTGGTCCTTTTTTCCAGCATATGGTATGTAGGTCTACTCACCCATAAAGGTTTGGAGTAACTTGGAGTCCTTCGGACGCTTTTAGATCCGCACGTGATCGGTGTATATCCATACAACGCAAGTGATTGGGGCATCCACAATCACCAGCACTAGTCCCCTGTGAGTCCAAGTTGCTTTGTTTACATCCCAGGCTTTCACTGCGGTGACGTCACCGAGGCGCGCAGCCGCAGCACAGCTGACTCGTCACAGCTGACTCCCTGTAAAGAGTTTGCTGATCGTCACAGCTGACTCGTCACAGCTGACTCCCTGCAAAGAGTTTGCTGATCGTCACAGCTGATCGTCAGCTGTGCTGTGCCTGCGCGCCTCGGTGACGTCACCCCAGTGAAAGCCCGGGATGTAAACAAAGCAACTTGAACTCACAGGGGACTAGTGCTGGCGATTCATAGTAAATAAAGAGTTTCGCAGCAGATAATGAGTTATTTAGAGGCTGTATTGTGGATGCCCCAATCACTTACCTTTATGGGTGAGTAGACCTACATACCATATGCTGGAAATAAGGACCAGGTTGAAAAAAACGTACTTCTCCTTTAACATAGCAGCAGCAGCAGCAGGCTCAGACTGGCTAACGTTAGCATCACTCTGCGAGCGTTCAACAACTATGAACAGATTTGACACAGTTTTAGCTACTGGTGGTCTATAACTTAAGCTAGTCAGTTAAAGGAGAAGCTTGGTTTTTTTCAACCTGGTCCTTATTTCCAGCATATGGTATGTAGATCTACTCACCCATAAAGGTTTTGGAGTTACTTGGAGTCCTTTGGACGCTTTTAGATCCACATGCGATCGGCGTATATCCATACAACGCAAGGGACTGGGGCATCCACAATACAGCCTCTAAATAACGCATTATCTGCCGCGAAACTCTTTATTTACTATGAATCGCCAGCACTAGTGCCCTGTGAGTCCTAGTTGCTTTGTTTACATGCCGGGCTTTCACTGTGGTGACGTCACCGAGGCGCCGAGGACCAGGTTGAAAAAAAACGAACTTCTCCTTTAAGAATAAGACAATGACGAGGAGTTGCTGGCTGATAGTTGACTGTTGAAACCCCAAAAACAAACAAGTGCGGTCATTTAGGAACCAAAAAAAAGAAAGGAAATTCAAACATCTTCCGGAACCGGACGTTAGGAACTCTCGGTGCCCAACCCTACTTACACATTAGATTAACATATCATAAGGGATAATATATAGCAACCCTAATGTTATAAATAATGTGTAA